TTGAGACTTTTGGAGCCTAATGTTAAACACTGTGTCCTATTGGAAGGTTTTCAAGATTTCTGTCAACTTACTAGGATTTTTAGGGATGTCTAACTTGTCGTTCTAGGGAGATTCTTTTACTTTCTTATTTCACTTTGAGTTTTCTTTTAAAAGTCTTTTCTCATTATTGAACAAATAGAAGTGATTATATTTGGATGCCAGTTAATTATGTAGTTTGTGTTAATTAGTGTTTGTGAACTTTGGGTGAGATAAGTGCTATCATTTCCTGTTAATGGGAGTGTAAATTGGTCGTACCAAAAAAATCAGAAATGTAGATAGTGATATAAATATATTCACTACAGTATTATATAGTCCTATATAATAAAAGCATAATATGCAAATCAATTGAATGGTGGAACGACCAGTGGGCAGTGGGTGGGGCCAGTGAGCAGGCAGTGCCAGACCAGTCAAGGTGTGTGCCAGCTGGCAGAGGGAGGGGATGGTAATGGGGGGGGTGTGGTGATAGCGACCAGTGGTGACGGAGGGACATTGCAGGGGCGCACTGGCCAGTGCCATCCCCTAATTGGCCACCTGGTCACCTCCCACAGAGGGAAACTGGTGGTGGCAGCAGGGTGATTGGGGTAGCGCTGTACCCTGATCGCCTGCCCAGCCCCTCCCGCAGAAGGAGGCCAGATTGTGAGGATCAGGCCTAAGCTGCAATAGGACACCCCCTGAGGGCTCCTGACTGTGAGAGGGCGCAGGCCAGGCTGAGGGACCCCTCTGAGCGCACGAATTGTCATGCACTGGGCCTCTAGTAGAGAATAATTGGAAACTACCTGGATAACTAACAGGATTTGTTTTCAGATTAGTTTCTATGTGAGACTATAATATTTAGAGGAAAAACATGCTTTTTTTTTTCTTCTCCCTTCTTGATGACTATGGTAGATTTGAGATTCCAACTATTTTACATGTTTTTTAATGCAATTTCTGGTTAAATTGGCTAAAATAGTAATACTACTAGAGATAAGGTCCCCTATCCTTTCAGATTTATGTGAGCGCAGTGCAGTGATCTATTTCACCATTAACAACCCAACCTCATAGTATTGAGTGGGGCAAAAGTAGGTTCACAGTTCATATGGAAAATACAATAATCTAATAAAGAGGGACTATGTTACTTGACCATCACACCCTTATAAAGATGGCAGTGCCCACAGCCAATGAAGGAATATGCTAATTGACTGCCACACCCTCAAAGATGGCGGCGCCCAGTCCCCTCAGCCCTGTCAGGGTGGCAGGTGCGCAGCCTCTGGAGTCCTCCAGTCCTCTCAGCCACCCAGCCACCTAGGGCTGGCCCGAGGTGTAGGCAAGCCTTGGATGGCAACTGCCCAGCCACCCAGGCTGCCCGAGGCTTACGATGCAGGCAGTGGCAGCAGCAGAGGTGTGATGGGGGCATCACTTTCCCCTGATTGCTGGGTCGCCTCCTGCCCCTGAGGTGTCCTGGTCTGTGAGAGGGGGCAGGCTGGGCTCAGGGTCTTCCCCCCCCCCCCCCCGTGTATGAATTTTTATGCACCAGGCCTCTAGTTAATAATAGTACAAGAATAAACTGCATTCATGTACTCACAACTGTATACTTATTCTTGCCCCACCCTGTATTTTTCTTGTGAATTCTTGCTATCTTGTGTTTAGCATATACAGCCAGAAGCTTTTTAATAACCAGAAGTAGCATTTCATCCTCTAGCACGGGTAGAGAGCATCCAGCTTGCGGGCCATATACAGCTCAAGAAATCATTTGGTCTGGCCCTGCCAAGGCATTAGGAGTGAGTTCATGAAATGGTTGACTAAATATAGCAGCAGGCTAATTTTTAAGTTGATAATTTTGTATGGCCCACAAGTGATGTTATAAATATCCAGCCTTTGGCAGAAAAAAAGGCTCCCCACCCCTGCTCTAATGGCTTTTATTCTGCTTAATTTGTAACACCTGAAACAAATATTTTAGTTATACCTAAGTTTGAATCAAGTTATTTAAAAGAAAACTAGAGTGTTTCTCATACATGCTTATGAAAGATATATAATACCTATTTGTAAAATTATAGCTAATATTTGTCAAGTGTCTGTGGTGTTTCAGACACTATGTTAGACACTGGTGACGAACATTAATTTTCACAGCAGCTCTATGAAATGGTATTATGTTCCCCTTTTCCTAGAAAAGGTAGCTGAGGTTCAAAGAGGCAAATTTGTCTAAGTTCCCACAGTCAGTGAGTGCTCAAACTGTGAATTCAAGTCTTGTGATTGAATTCAAGTCTTGTGATTACAATGCTCAAGCACAGGACCTTTGTCTTGATAGCTATTATGTATCCAGTGCATAGGACAGGGTGTATTAAGAATTCAACAGTTATCTCCCTTGAATGAAGAGCTATATACCTAGAAGCTTTTAAGTGGCCAAGCAGAAGAAATTGTTTCATTATAGTAATATAAAATTATGTAGAGAAATAATCCTGACAAAATAGAATGCTATTAGAAAGCCAAATTGAAGTACTTATACTAAAATTTGGGTCATATATTAGATATAACTCTCTTTTTTGATGTAACTGTCTAATTTGTTCTTAGTACATTTGCCAGATCTCTTTCTGCTTTATTTTGATATTCAATGAAACAGCAAGATACTTGATATTGAATCTTTTTTGGGAAAAGAGCCTGGGTAGAAACCCAAGTTCTGTAAGTGTCTAAGAACAAGAATGGGAATTTTCTTGTTTGGGATTTTTGGATGTTGGGAGCCTCGGGTTCTGTGGAGATAACATTGTGCCATTGTGGTACATGAATGTATTTTAGTCCATTGGTAAAAGTAACTTCTTTATATAGTCCTATGACAACAAACACTAGATTGCAATTGGAAAAGAGATAAATATTTACACACCTCATAGACATGTTTTCTGGTTTGTGAGATGAATTGTCATAAAAGCCCTGTTGTGACCCTAGTGTCTCCTCTTTATATTTATTGTCTGTGTCTCAAATAGTCTTGACTGCTAAGAGCCAGCTGAGTCATGGGTTGAGTCTTAACTAGTTTAATCATGATGATTATAGCATGTACCATTAAAGGAAATGATAAATGCCAAGAATATAGTCTTAGGGAATGGAGTAAAGGAAATAAGTATCACATTAATGCTCCTGGAATGTCATTCCATGCCCAGACCCCTTTTACTTGATTCCCCTCCAGAAATTACCTTGTTCTTAAATATTCATCAAAAAGAGACTGAATTAGCGGTGTACTGCAGATCTGAGCAGTAGTCATTGTGAAACCAGCCTATGTGTTTCATTTCCTTCATGGCTTGAAATTCATTAAGTTCTTGTAGTTTAGTACGTATATTTCTTTGCTTGAATCAAATGGAACGAAGGGTGCACATTTTCCTATTATCTTATGAACTATGTTAGTTCAGCTTCAGTAGGATGGCAAGGCAGTTTTCCCAAATCACTGAACTGTTCTGAAAGCTTCTGAACTCAGATTCCTACCATTTTTAAGTGCTATGGCTTCTATCCAGAGTTATCCAAGTTTATGGCTTGTCAGCTCCATGGAGGCAGCTAATGTATCTGTTTTGTCCATCACGCAACCTGGGTCTAGCACTGTGCATAATACTGGGAACTTAATATTTGTTGGATGAATGACTAGAAAAAGAGGGTTGTGCTTGATGAGCATTCATTAAGAAGCCAGAAATGCCTGCTGAGGAAACCTTTTATGAGTTATTTATCATTGATGATGGCATCCATGGAAATCCTTGCAGTTAGATCTATCTATGTGTCTATCTAATCTACCTGCTTAAGCAGTCCTGTAAACATCTTATGATAGCTAGGCTTTGCATAGACTGAAATTTAAATACCATCTAAAAAATTGAAATTCCTCATCTCTAAGAGCTATTTGTCCTTTATCACTAACATAAATGTCTCTTTTGAACTACCACTGGTAACAAACACTAAGAAGTGACGTGTTAAAAGTCACCTAGTTAGATAGTAGCAGAGCTAAGATTTGATGTCATTTCTAATCCAGCCAGTTTTGCGGAGATAAACGCACCGTTTCAGATCTCCCACCACACTATCTCCCTTACAGTTCTGTTTGCGTTGGAAATCTGCCTCACACACTCTGAAATGTTGTGTAGCATGTCCGACATTTTTGTTTGTTGCTATTTTGCATCATTAAGAAACACCTAGTTCCTGCTGGCTTGTTTTCCATTTTAAAATGAGTATATAGATGTGGTAGGAAAATGTTTTACCCAGAAATTCTTTCTAGGGCTTTAACTTAGAAAACATGAATAGTCTCCTACCTACAGGAGACTATTTTAATTTCTCAATCTTGGGCAGATTTAGAATTTCGATGTTTTTGTTCTAATGACCAAGAATTAGTAGAAATCTTATCCCAAAAGAGTCTCTAGGAAATAATTAATTCTTAATTTAAGAAAATGATTCTGTGCTTTTTATACTCAGTAGCATTAATTTACTATCAGTATTAAATTGCACTTTATGATATTAAAATCTGATGTACTACCTCACTTTTCAAATACTAATTTTTCCTGTATTCACTCAATCCATTATATGTTTCTAAGACTTGAAATTCTTTGTTCAGTGTTGACAGCTTTTATCTTTATGTGCTTATTTTAATTGAAACTTAAACGGGATGGTCTGTGCTATGTATCAACATGGAATTGTTCTATTTCTTCTCCATTTGGGAAGAGTCTCAGATAAGGAAATGGGACTTCAAGCCCTTACTGTGTTTTCACAGAATTGACATTTCCAGAGTGTTCTCCATATGCCAGAAATAGTTCAAGATGTTTTGTATATGTGATCCTTGAGCCTTAAAAGGACCTGTCAGTATGGCATTAATATTCATATTTTATGTATGAAGCGTTTGAGACAAAGACAGGATTCCAACCCAATATCAACATGACCCTAAGACGCACAATTTTTGGACCTAGCAGGCATCGTATGGGTTGAGAATGGCTCAAAATTTAAGAACCTCGTAAACGTATTTATACATCTGGTTTATTTGGAGGTTAAGGCACGTGATGATAATGGAAGTCACTTGCATTTTTTAAAAACTACTAAAGCCTTGAGTGGCACCATTCATTGCATCTGGTCTTGACCATAAACGAAGTTCATAGGACTTGAAGTTCATAACACGTTGGATGTTTTGTCAGTAAATCATAATCTAGGTTATTTCAGTGTTCTTTGAAAAAAGCTTCAGTTCCATATTTCTTTTAATGATTCAGTCTTCAGCTTTGTGCTTTGGTCCTTTCAACAAGGGAGAATAGGCTTATCATTGCATTTCTAAAATGGCCTTTCACATGTTTGTAGGCAGGCATCAGGTTCCCAGTATTTGGAAACTGTTGCTTTGTATTCATGGGGTAGAGTTTACTTTTAGCTATAAAATATTGTCCTTCCATCAAAAACTTAAGCCCAGATCCATAAATATAATGACTGAACACAGAGGGACCATGCTGGTTATTTAAGCCAAGTATGACACGAGATTTTTCTGGCAAAGCCAGCTGCATGGGGCGACATGGTCACACACTGGCTAGGAAAAGCTGTCTAGCATATAAATATTTCCATTTTATTCCAGTTGAATTACTGACATGGCTAGCATTAGTGTTTTAGGATACTTGTTTGTGAAGGCTATTGTGTTGAATAGTACCTGTCTGTCGATAAGAAGTTATATCATAAAGTGTAAGGGGAAAAATAATAATAGTTACCCTTTTTTGAATCTCTACTACATTTCCATCTCCTTACTAGATGCTTTATATATATTATTGTGAGTCCTTCCATGCATCCTGCAGGGTAGCTATTTCCCCATTTTGAAGATAAGGACACTAAATCTCAGAGAGGTGAATTCATTTGTCTGATTTCATCTAGCAATAAAGTAGATAGTGGTAATCAAACTCAGGGCTGACTGACTTGAAAGGCCCTTGTTCTTTGCTATTCCATATTGTCCGCGATAATGATTCTGTAAAGGACACTAGGGAATTGTGTTTATGAAGAACTTTTTGACACTAAGTTAATGCTACTCTGGAGCATTATGATAGGTGCTACTACTACCTATCTGTCACTACTGCCTTAATAGTCTTCATAAACTCTTTATTGTATACCAAGGAAAAAATGAAACCTTGGATTAAAAAAAAAAAAGTCATTTCTCAAGTATCATGATGCTTGTATGGTATTTTTTTTCTCAGAGGTTAATTTCTTTCCTGTCCAGCTGGGTGCGTAGGTGAGGACAGGTGTTCTGGATGTGAGCATTGTCTAGATCAGTGCTGTCCAATAGAACTTTCTGTGGTAATGGAAGTGTCCTGTGTCTGAGCTGTCCAATATGATAGATACTAGTAACATAGGGCTATTGAGTGCTTGAAATGTGGCTAGTGTACTGAGGAACTGAATTTTTTATTTTATTTAATTTTGGTTAATTTAAATTCTAATAAAAATAGCCGCATGTGGTTGGTGGCTATTAGATAGCAGTGCAGTTTGAGATCATAACTGATGCTTGTGTTTGATGAGTAATGATAGAATTTAAGAAAAACCCAATAATTGGTGGTTGAAAAGTTGCTGATTTGTTTTTCAGCAACATTAAATTTGGCATGTGTTCAACTGAAAGCCATGGAACCAAATAGAGTAGAACAATTAATATTTCCAAAGCATTTTTGATCATTCATGATCTCATTTGATGAGTATTTCAGGTATGCTATTGTTCAGGACGTATTTGCTAACAGATCACAGAAGAAGAGTCAGAACAAAATCATTTACAACTTCTTGTGCAGGGTCTCCTGTTGAAATGGACACTAGTTTGGCCTTGTTGGTGCTCAGGTTGTAGTATGAGGGCCTGGAGAGGAATCAAAGTATTGTTTTCTTCTGCTTGCTGGTTGAGATTAGAGAAATCTCTTTCTCCCCTCACCTAGAATGTTCATTAATTTTATTTTTTATGTCTAAAGTGAGGGAAGTAGAGACAATTTCTAAATGTATCCAGGGAGCTACAATAATGTAATAATCAACAAAGTAAAATATAGTTTTCCATTCTAATATTCTAAAAATAAGTCCATAGGACTTTGATTTTAGTTCTTTGTTTTGGAAAATACAACCCAATCAGATGTTTTATATGAGATTCGTTTTTAAATTGACTTATATCTTCCAAAGAAACTTTTTATGGAAATAATAGGTTTCATGTGATATTTTAAAGGAAATATTATTTCTCTGGAGTCTTGATACATTTTGGTTTCATTTTGATTATCTTATGAAATAATTTGTAAAAGATACAAATTTTATTATATGTCACTTGTGTTATTAAGCATATTTTTTCTGACATTTTATTTGTAAAATGCTCCTCTCCTTTCTATCAGAGCTCACAACTAATCAACCCTGAATGCTTTTGATTTTTCTGACTGTGCCAGGACATTGAAGTTCCCTGTAGTGAGAAAAGAGAGCACATGGAACTCATGAATTTATGTTCTCCAACAATAGAGCTTTTATGACATTGGAGGTGGTTAAAAAAGCTAGAAGTAGCTCTCAAACATGGCATCGCTGTGTTGCCCTTTTTCTTTTTCTTTTCTTTTCTTTTTTTTTTTGTATTCTCAGAGCTGCCAGGAGTGCATCGGGCCTGTAATTTCCTGTTCTCCGAATCCCCCATCTTTCTGCAGCTCCAAGCTTTGTGTCCCACAGCCTGTGACTGTGCTAACAAATCGCTATTGTCCAGTGGGGCGAATGGTGGCTGGAACTAAAGAATTGCTGTCTGGTTTCTATTCAAATCCAGGTAGTGAGATATATGAATGGACTTTTCGAATCGTCATGTGAATAACGTCTGCTCGACACGAAGGCTCAGCCATGCTAGGAAAGATTAACTCCTAGGCTAACCACTAACATCCTTTGTGGTAGGAGATAGAAACATTCTTCAAGTATCGTTTTATTCACACTTAATTTCCCATTTCATCACCCAAAAGTAGGATTAGCCATTCAGTTTTTTGGCAGCTACTTTTCTTCAAGTTTTAGTGTTTCTGTTGATAATATGGAAGTTTAGGAAAATGCTAAGTTATTTCTCAGAAAAACGCTATTATTTTCTGTCGTAAGTTTTCCACCTTATATTTATTATGGCATCAAGTTATCTTTATAGCATACATGCAAAAATGAGAGAGAGCAAGCTGCTTTTTCTAAAAAACAAATTCTTTAACACGCCTTCCAAACAACGAGAAGGAAAAATCCTCCTTTTTTAGTGCATTCTGCTCATTCACATTTTTTTCTCCCAAAGTCCAAGTTTATGTAAAGAAAATATAAACAACTTTAAATGCAATATATGAACCAAACAAAACAAGACGCCTTCAAATTAGGAACCAACTTAAGCATCTCTAAGTATTGCAGAATCATGATTTTAAAAATCAGATTTGGAAGTTAGGCTATAATTCATAATTTTCATTAATACTTGGAAAATTATTTTAACTTTCTCCTCTATGTGAAAAAAAAAATGTCCACAGGCTTGGAAAGCCCTGCTTTTTACATTCCTTCCATATCACAGGTACTATGGGATGGAGAGCCTTTTATGTTTCTTTTTGTCTCAAACTCAGACAGCTTTGTAAGCAGTAGTATGTAGATTACAAGAGTTAGACAAAAGCAGGCACGACTGAGAAGAGTTGGGTTGGGGGGAGCTTGGGGCACTTCCTGTCACTCAACACATTCCAGATCACTAAAAAATTTCCACACCCCTAGCATTCCCTCTTGCCCACTCCAGACCCCAGTATTTTCTGATACTATATGTTGTGGTAGTTATCACACTCCTTTCTATCACTGGGCTCTGGCAAGACTGCTTCCCAGGAGATGCATTCCTTTAGATTGCACAAAGCATAGCTGGGAAAATGGCTGGCAGTTTCAGAATCTAGTCACGATCGCACGCATGAGCACCTCACACATCCATGCCCCATTCCCCCCGCCCTCCCACCCCTGCAGCTGGCTGACCTGTCTCACCCGCTGCTGGCCTATCGAACGGCCAGGACTGTCTGGTTTTGGCTCATGCCTTTGTCCATGTCTGGCTTAGTTCCTCTCTGTCTATGCTTGTCTCTACCCCCAATGCCCCAGGCGGCACAAGTGTTTGGCCACACAAAACTGCAGATAGAAAAGGTGGTAAAAACTTCAAACTTTGCTAGATTCTCCCAACAGTATTTTCTTTTGTGAATTTTTCCCTTCATTAAATCCTCTGTTTTAAGAAAACACAAAATTAATTATCTAAAGGCAAAGAATGCAAAGCAACCTTTGTGTTCCTTATAATAACTGACTTCATAACTCTCTCCAGCTGCGGTATGGGGTGTGTATAAAAAGCTTCTGTTCTGAGAACAAAGGAGCACGTGAGAAATGAGACTAAAAAACCCACTGACAGTATTTCACTACACAAATTACTTACAAGATTTTAGTTAAGCCTCTTAACAGATTCAATTTTAAAATGGGTTTTAGTTAAAAAAAAAAAAAAAAAAAAAAAAAAGAAGAAGAAGAAAGTGCTTACCCAGTAAAAGAACCGAAGTAGTCCTGAACTGTTACGTAAGACTTTTTACAGTTGGATCTTTGTCAAAAGGGGATGGGGGTGATGGGAGAAAAGCAGCAACAACAATCAAAAAAGTTCGAGCTGCTGTTGCTAGAGGACAACTTCTGTGTTTCCAGATAGGATTCTCGCTGTAGAAATGGAACTTCCAGCCAGCACAGCATCCTGTCCCAGTAGAGAAATGAGTTTGTTAGTAAAAAAAAAAAAAAAAAGATACTGGAACCCAGGCTAGACGAGGTATTGAACCGCGCCAGATTTCCTTACAGCCCTGTCTGCTCAGCTCGCATTGAACTATATATGACCCAGATGATGGACAGAAGCACATTCAGTCATGTGCACACTGGAAGAAAGCGGATTTGCTGGTCCCTGGCAGTGCAGGGGTTTGTCTTCTGATTGGGCTGTGCCCTGATCAGTGAAATGTGAAGCCCTCACCATTCAGAGGCCGTAATTCAGGACTGGCAGTTTGAGTGTCTGGCTGCTTCTAGTGACTGAGAGAGACTTTGAAGGTGTTGCTTTTGTTTGGTAGCATTACCCACCAGAGGTTGCTTACACCTATGTGTGTGTAAGGAGCAATGCTCGTCTTTCTGAAATGCAAGAAGACAGCCAACTTTGCCCAGAGCTGGCATTTTATTGTTGATGAACTTGACTCTAACTTAAACCAATTATTTGATTTGAGAATTTTTGTGATCCTAACTAAGGCCCTTGTCCAGATCACACCCTTGCCTTGATTTTAATGAAATTGATAAGTTAAAAATAAAGATGGCTTTTGATTTGGAAGCTTTCTAGATGATGTAAAATTGCTCTTAATGAAAATTGGTGAAATGGACAGTAGAGAAGTTAAGTTTTGGATTCTGGAGTCTTTGAACATTCTAGGGTGAAGCTGTCACTCTTATCCTAGTCCTCAGTTGGGATAAGAGTGAGGACTCCTGGGGGGAAGCTACCAAGGCATAGACCACATCACACTGTGACATAGCCTTTTATCATGCATGACAGCCACAGTCTACTGTCTTCAGTCTGTTTGAACTAGACGTCCTTGGGATTTATTTCTCATCTTTCTGGGCCACTGGGACTGTCAGTTGTGTCATTTTTGCTCAGTCTATGAAAGTTGCATTGTTTAATGCAAATTGACACTGTTGGGGTGCTACGGAGAGTCAAGACCAAAACAGAAAAGATTCTTATGGAGCTTGTATTCTAGTGAGGAGACAAAAATAAGTTAACAAAGTAGTGTGAAGTAAAACAGGAAACTACCGTATTGTGAAGAAAATAAAATAGTGTAATGTGATGATGGAGAGTGCCTTCCGGGTGGGTGGGATGGGGGACTTTTTTTTCATGTTCATCTAATTTTTAATTTTTTTCAATTACAGTTTACATTCAATAGTATTCAGATGTTCTGACTCTAGGAGGGTTAATTGATAACATTAGGCCCATGTTATTTTATTTTTTCAAATTCTCAAATATCCTGAAAAAACACAAAATAACACTGCATATACCCAACAGTCTCATTTTTATAGATCAGTGGCTTTCAAGTTCTTTGACCATTATCAACTTGTATAATAAGATATATTTTAACTTACACATAGATTTATATATAAAAATGATGTTTCACATACATATATATATATATGTATGTGAAACATCATTTTCATAAAATAGTACTTGTCCTTATTACAGGTAGTGTCATCTGATATTTTCTTTAAAAATTTTTTATTTGTGAGCCACTAAATATAATTTACAACCCACTCACAGGGCCACCTGAACTTTGAAAAGCACTATAAGTGAGAAAACTGAGGCTTTGAGAGGATATGACCTGTCCAGTGTTCATAGCAAGGAAGTGGCAGAGCCAGGACTTGACGCAAAGCATGATTCCAAAGCCCTCATTTTTTTCTACCACATTATATAGCTTCCAAGTGACACTAACTCTAATGGAACTGAATAAAAAAAATTAAAAAAAAACTACCACAAATGATCTTTAATAGTAACTATATAAAATGTACGTTTTCCAAGCAGAGGCTATATAGGAAGGGACAGAAATATTCTTCCTCTGATCATTGGCTCTGCATTTTACAAAGAGCTCTTGGCCAATTGGAGTTGTCTATCCATATCTTGGACAGAATACAGTTGATAGTACTCATTAGTTATGCTGGGAACTCACAGATTCCCAAGGCACTTGTATCTCATTACTCAGTCTAGCCCTGAGCTAATCCTGGCTTCTTAAAATAATAGCTGTGTAAGACCTAGCTTCTGTGTGTGAGAGTGTGGCTTCTCAAAAATGAGCTGTTGAAATGTGACTTGGAGTCAGCACTGAGATACAGGAAAGGATGTTTAGGTCTGAGTCCAGCCCTGCCAGGAAGTTGCCATACATCCCTTCTCATATATAATGCACATCCCCTCCCTCCCGCTCCCCAACATCATGCACCAGAATGGTCCATTTTTACAATTGATGAACTTATACTGACATCCAAAATTCATAGCTTATAGTAGAGCTCATTCTTGGTAGTGTATATTCTTTGGATTTGGGCAGATGTCTCCTGATATCACATGGGTTTTTATGATGGAGATTTATTTGACTTCCTGAATATTGAAATTTAGAGAATATTGTTTTGTGCAGACCACAGAGCAGAATATTCTTGGAAAATCCAAAGAACAGTCACTATATGTAGGTACCTCAGATCAGTTCTAGTGCTTTTCTGGCTTTGGTTAGTGCGCGAGAGCAGATGAGAAGCAGGGATGCAGTCTTATTTGCTCAGGTGGCTTGGCTTCAGACAAAGACCATCAGAAAAATTGATCTTAGGTTTCTTAGGATCCCTGTGTTTTAAAGGCTAAGAAAGAGAGAAGGACCTACTTAGTCTGATGCCAGTGATTTCAAGGGCTTCATGAACATATTTATACTAGAGTCCCGGTGCACAAAATTTGTGCACTAGGGGGAGAGCCTGTGCCCTCTCGCTCCTTACTGCTTGCTTGCTCACTGCTTCTTAGTGCTGCCACAGAGGTGGGAGAGGCTCCCGCCATCGCCGCTGTGCTTTCCAGCCATGAGCCCAGCTTCTGGCTGAGTGGCGTGCCCCCTGTGGGAGCGCACTTACCACCAGAGGGCAACTCCTGTGTTGAGTGTCTGCCCCCTGTGGTCAGTGTGCATTATAGCGACGGATCGCTCTAAGGTAGTGGCTCCACCGTAATGGTCGCTTCGGCTTTTATTATATAGATGCCACTCAGTTTGCTTAGGCTCAGTGAGAGCATTCTAATTTACATCATAACCTGTAGTATGTTGGAAAGAGCCCTAGATTGTTTGAAGTCAGGCATCTAGGAGTTCCTATTCAATAATCCTGTTTGGGTGAGATTTTGTACAATCTTTGAAGTCTAACAGACTTGATTTGAGTAAGTTACCTAACCTCTTGTGTGTACAGTGAGGAGAAAAGTATCCATATGGACAGAATTTTGAACATTAAATGAAGTGAGTATGTAAAACACCTTGCCCAGTACACTGTAGGTATTTAATAAAATAAACAAACTGTAATAATAGTAAATGTATGTTATTCCCACCTTCAGGAAGAAGTCTATTATTGAGCCTGGTATATGTCCTTTCCCAATCTGGCCTTCCTCAACATCCCTCATCTCCTCTCCTGCCACTCACCATCATGTGCCTTAATCTCTAGCTATACACAATTACTCATACTTTCAGAAGAAAGCTTTTATGCTGCCATATATTTGTATATGCTACTGCTTTTGCCTAGAATGCACTTTTTATTCCCTCCCCCTCCTTTGCCTTTTGGGAGCCTACTTCTTCAAAACAGCTCTAATGCCACTTCTGATTGTGAAGTTTTCATTAGACCCTCTCCACCCCTCATAGACTTATCATTCCTGCCTGTGATTTCTCATCAGTACCTTGCTGGTGCTTTTCTCGTGGCCCTGTAGTTTCCTGGTCTGCCTCCCCCACAATTTCTAGAATTCCGAGGCAGCATGGTGTGTTACTGTATCTCTCTTGGGACTGCCCTTCCAGTTTGAGTTCTAGATGTGAAAAATATGATGGCAGACCTCTTTGTTTTAAACCTCTGAAGTATAGGCAGTCCACATGGGGGCTAATCTCATTGCTCAGATTTGGACATCACCATGTGTGCAGTTTCTTTAATCCTTCTCTAGCTATGAAAATGGATTTAGCAGTTGGCATCCTGCTTTTTTCCTCTCTGGGGCAATTAGAGCTCTGTAGAATTTGGCTTGAAGGAGCAGGGACTTTGCCTACTCAATTTAGGATGATCCTGGGATATAGGACAGGATGTCATGGAGGGCCTACTATGGCTGTTGTGTGGCCAGTGACATGATACCAGGGGCCCTGCTTATCAGGATACCAGGGATTACATTCATCCCCTGATTTAATTTCTGTGACACATTGAGTCTATGTTTTGGTTTATAAAACACCATAGAATTAGTGTCCTAATTCTTTCATCGTATTCCTTCCCTACCTTGTTATCTTCAAAATCACTACAGTCTTGTATTGGAAGCCACCATGGCACAGTGGAAAAGACAGCTCTGAAATACCCGTGTAAACAAGCAAATATCATCACTGCAAAGACACTGGGAACAATGGCACCAGTTGTGATCAGTGATGGGTGATTCGTTCCTGGGACTTGTTGGCATTTCTCTACTAAATGGGAGAGAGTTCTCAATTAGCAGGAACAGAGTTGCATAATACACGAAGTGTAATAATCCGTCTGAAGAGCAATAGTTATAATGATAATAACCATCATTTTCTGAGGGTCTAGCCCAATGCTCGGTACTAGAACCCAGTCGTGATCACATTTCATCTTTTTTATTTTATCTTTTAAACATGTTTAATAACTCCAGAAGGAAGAATTCACACACATACACACACACACACACACACACACACACAAAAAAAAAAAAAAAAAAAAAGGAAAACTCTTTTTAAAATGGTCCTATGTTGAAGCAGTAATTCCAGATTACACATGACCCTTCTGTTATAAGCCTGATAGGAGCAGCATTTTGCAGATTTGGGGAGATTTCACAAGTCTACAGAATTCTAAATCCGTGTCCTAGTTCAAAAAAAGCAGTAGCTGTTGGAATTGAATAGATTTCAGTTTTTCATCTTTATGGGAGGAAGTGCCAGAAGACTTGTAATGATCTTTGGGGAGAGATTCTTAGCCCCATTTCCCCTACAATGTATGCATCTGACAGCTGGCCCATTGTTCTATTTTTAGGCATAATCTATGGGATTACAGAGTGGCTTCATTTTTTTTTAAAGCTATATTGCAGAAATGCAAGCTATGTAGAAATG